TATTCTGTGCCAGACACTGTGCAAAATACTGTGGGAAGTAGAACAAGAGTCGGGGGGAGGGCAGGGAACTAATGGTGGTCCTAGGCTGTCTCCTCTAGGATTTGAGGGGAAGCAATGCTTATGGCTTGACTGTCCTGGCACATGTGACTTCTTGCCCCCTTCAGTATTTGTTAAGTTCCAGAAACTGGGAAGATATGTATGAAAAATAAAATGATCTCTTCTTGGAAGGAGTGTATATTTTGATGGGAGAGGCAAGTACATATAAAAATATATACAGCATCATATAAATTTAATAAATACAAATATATACAAAGTAGTTAAATTCAATGTAGTTTGGGAAGAAGGGCAATTCCACTTGTTGGTATCCACTTCCACTTGTTGGTATCAGGACAGGCATAATACAGAACATGGTCCTTGAGCTGCATCTTAAAAGAAGGGGGACCTGAGACAGAAGAAAGAAATAAGTAAATTTTTTTTTATCTCAGGGGTGTTTTTATTTTATTTTTTATTTTTTTATTAATTTATTTTGATTTATCAATAATCACTTCCATATGCTTTTGAGTTTAAAATTTTTTTCCCCCTTCCTCCCCATCACCCTCCCCAAATCGGCACACAATCTGATACAGGCTATACATTTACATTCCTATTAAACATATTTTCACATTAGTGATGTTGTAAGTAAAAATTAAAACCAATAGGAGGAACCACCAGAAAGAGGAAACAAAACTCAACAGAAGAGGGAAAAAAAATAGCAATTCAACTTCCATAGTTCTTTCTTTGGATGTGGGTAGCATTTTCCATCACGAGGCCTCTGGAGATGTCTAAGATCCTTGCATTGTGGGAAGGGTTAGGTTTATCAATATTAGTCATCATACAACGTGGCTGTTATTGTGTACAACATTCTCTTGGTTCTGCTCACTTCGCTCAGCATCAGACCATACAAGTCTTTCTATGTTTTTCTGAAGTCAGCCAAACAAGTACTTTCTTGACATCTGCATTTGCCAGTGTAAGGAACTGAGATGGGTTGGACTATTCTGTGTAAGAAGAGAGAAAAGGTCCATTTGGCTGGATCAATGAGTCAGGGAAGATTATTTATGTCCATTGAGGTTGGAAAGTTTGTGTGGGGCCAGGTTGTATACTGTAGAGAGATTTTAAAGCTACAAACAAGAGTTTATAGATTTATCCAAGGAGCAATGGGAAGCCTCTGGAGTTGGCTGAGTGGAAGATTCACATGGTCTGATCTCTGCTTAAGAAAACCCCTCTGGCAGCAGCATAGTATGATGGGCTGGAAATGCTAGTAACTTAAGACCCATTAGGAGACTATTGCAGTAATCTAAGTGAGAAAGTGATGAGGGCCTGACAAAGGGTGGTAGCTCTGTGAGTAGAGAGAAGTGGGATCCAGGAGATGTTTTTAATGTAGAAATTGCAAGATTTGGCAACTGCTTGGATGGACAAGCTAAGGAAGAGTGAGTAGTTCAGGATAATGCCAAAATTTTGACCCTGGAATCCTAAAGAAACTGATGCCTTCAACAAAAATAGAGTTTTAGAACAGGGAAGGATTTAGGGGAGAAGATAAGGAGATCAGCTTGCCGTGATGATTTAACAGCTGTCTGCCCCCTAGTTAGTGATTGGTAGATATCTGGTGCCAAAACATATTTGATCTTGGTGGCAAGGAGGTTGGGGCCATGGGGTGCTCCCCAGGAAGATCCTTACCTCCACAAAGATTATAGGCAGGTGGTGACAATGTTTTTACCATCTGTACATGCCACCTCCTTTCTTACCCATGGAGTGCCTTATTCCATAAGGGAGGTAGAGGCAGAATAACCTTGAATTAAAGAACTAATTAGAGTTTAGATGCCTTACAATTCCATTTGAAACCACTTGATTATTACCCTTAACTCCTTTGGAGTTGATACTTCAAAGGAAAATTCCTGTTTGCACCCCAGTTTCTCCAAGTAAATGTTGAAGTGCAGAGAGTCAATTTATACCCCTTTAATATGTTAAAACTCTTAAAATCCTATAGGCAGCCTTTTGTGATATGTGTGTGCTCCAAGTTTGGAGAGTGAGAAAGGACCAATGGATTGTATTTGGACTGACATACAGGATAATAATCTATATCTGCAGTTCTAACAAGAACTAAATGACCCTAATCTTCCCCTGTGGCAGAAAGAAGTTCTCTTACTTTTTTATTTAGAATAAATCTTTGCTTTTGTCCCATTCTCTCATTCTTTTTATTTTAGTCTAACTCGTCATTTTGTCTTACTTTATTCTACTTATACACTTACAATTCTAGAGTTCCAAGGAACTTCAAAATCCATCTAATTCAACCCTTCATTTTACATGTAGGAAAACTGAGGCACAGGATTTCAAATGACTTTTCCAAGGTCATACAGGAAGTAAGGGTCAGAAACAAAATTTGAACCTGGGTCCTATCACTCTAGAGGCACCAACCCTGTACCATTATGAAAGGCCTTGTCTTCACAGGCAAATTAACTTCAATAGATTGTCACAAATCCTTCCCACAAAAAAAAGTTCTTTTTTTTAAAAAATATACTATTATTGCATCAACAAGCATTTATTACCTCTACTATGTGTTGGTCACTATTAATATACTTTATTTTCAAAAACTGATTTGTAGACAATTGTTAGCAATCTGTCACTGTTGTTATGTATGTTTGTATGCCGTTGACCTTCATTCTACTACCTTTCTTCCTTTTCAAAGGCCAAACTCCCATATTGTCTTTCCTTTCTTTACTTGTGAAAATTATGTGAGTAATACATGAAAAACAGAAGAGTGTCCTTTGTCTTTGGACTAAATCATTTATGCCCCAGATCCCTACTGCTTGTGTTCTGAGAAAAAAAAGAGGTAGAAAAGTTTAAAAGCTGAGATTTTGAAGGATCTTTTCTTTAACTATCTCCCCTTTGGTCTCTCCTAGGTGACACACTTTGTGCACCAAGCTCTCGTCCTTCCCAACATCTACCTTCTTCTTTAAAATGTCCAGGGGAATCAGTTCTATCACCTCTTTGTAATACTTCACACTTCCTGTGCCATGGGCCATAAAGTCAGCAGGTTCAATAGCAGGGAAATGAGAAGAAGAAGTGAAATTTCTTGAGAAAGGGGGGAAACGGATTGTTATAGTAGAAATAACACTGAACTGAGAGGCAAGTATTTCTTCCCCTGCAAAATGAGGGCATTGGATTGGATAAGGTCCTTTTCATCTCAATAATTCAATGTTGATTAAAATTCAGTATTAACTTTGGCTTGCCTAAGGGAACCAGGTTCAAAATTTGAACATGGAATAAAATTCAGTGTCTTAGTCACGAGCTCAGATCATTTCAGCCAGCTATCTTCTTTCCCTTATTCTACATACCTCTGTCCTAATTATTATTTTGTATTATCTTCTATTCTGAATAAAATAGTTTTATTCTAAATCCGGGGTTAAAATAAAATTGTCATCCAAGGTTAAAAGTGGAAGAGACTAACTTAGTCTTCTCGTTTTACAAATAAGAAGACTGAGGCCCAGAAAGGCTATCTGGCCACGTTTACTTAGATGGTTAGTGGCAGAGCCTGTACTTGAACCCAGGTCACCTGACTTTTATTCCTCTTTCTACAGCTCTAAGATACCAAACTGCCTTCTGTGGTCTGGTCCTATGGTCTTACAGATTCAGAAACCTGATTGTCCACTGACCCTTAGGGTGTTTAGGCTGATACTAGTGAGTCTTAAAAGATACTGACTTGTAAACATGAATGTCAATAAATTGATTTAAAATTGAAGCCAAACATGGCCCCAAGAACTAGAACCAGTTCACTTTAGGATACTCCTTCCTTGGTCTTTTTTTTTTTTTAGCCAAGGGGCCAAACAATTTATCAGAAGTTTGTTTTGATGAGCATGGAATTAGAAAAGTAATGGGAAAAAAGATGGTTTTAAGGGACATTTCTTTCAGGTTATATTGAGTGCTGAATGAATCACCTTTCTTCCCCTCTAAGGAAGCAATCTATCTAAAGACCTAGACTGATCATCTGGATTACTATCCATCTCTCCGTAGACTGAGGCTGATAGATTTCTTTCTGTCAAATACTCCCTTTTCTGTCTTTTAGTTTGACTGAAACCTCCTGCTTCCCTTCCTTTGTCATCATAACATGGCTTGTCATATTGTAACACATGTTCCTATTATGTATTTTTGCCATTGCAATTTCCAAATCCTACACTGATTAAATCTTAAGTGGCCTTTGTCCTGATTAATCCCTTGTAATTGTAAAATAGTGCATTACAATGTTAAAAAGGCTTTCACACTGATACACCAGAATTTATCCTATGCAGTGACCCTCTTATAATAAATATCCAGTGAGGCATAAAACAGGAAGACATAGCTCACCAAAGGTATTTGCTGCTGTGTTAGAGAAGAGCTAATGCAGAATCTTGTTCAGGAAGGACTTGAAAGTGGATAATAAGGTCTTTCACCTGCTCCTGTTTGTGGATGACATTGTGTTGATTTCATTAAGCCCCAAGATATTGCAGAGTCCCCTGGATGAGATCTGTAATCACTCAAAGAAGTTTGCTCTTCCACACATAGAAGAAAAACTAAGTGGATGAAGAATTCTTATTGCCTAGATTTCCATTTTGATGGGTAAACTATAGAACTTGTACAGTAGTGTGTATGACTTTTACAGACAGTACAAATGGACAGTGAAATGAGTTCAGAGGTGAAAAGTGGGCTGAATTGCTTCCCATAAAAGTAAAGGCTCATCAGTTCAATACTGAGAGTTTACCAGTATTGCCATATGACAATGAGATCTGGAGAATTTCCTGCAAAGCACTGAAGATAAGCAAAACAGATAAAATAGAAAGGCACATAATGAGTTTAAGCAGTCTGCAACTTATACCCAATAGAGAACTCTGAAGAAGAAGTAAAGGATACCAGTAAGAAATTGTGTGTCAAGAGCAGGGGGATAACAGCAACAATAATAATAGTTAACATTTTATTTGATCTAATATCAGATGAGATGTTTGGTGGACAGCCAGAGTGGTCCATTGGTACCTTCAAGATACCAAGAAAAAGCAAGAGCAAGAACATGGAGTCACACAGGATCGAGAGGAATGGATTGGCTTTGACCTTCATTATTAGAGGAAACTCCTACATCCCTGAGGCAAAAGACCTATTTTGGTATTTGAATATAGGTAGGTTTGATCTTAGAACAGTGCCTTGCCACAGAATAGATCTTCAATATTTATTGAATGAATAAAAAAATGAAAGATTCCCACAATAGCCCTGAGAATTAGGCAGATCTAATATTATTGTTTCCACATTTTATTGATGATGAAAGTGAGATGGGTTAAATGACTTGCCTGAGTTCACAGGTAATTCTGACCTAAGTCCTATGCAATTTCCACCATAAAGCATCGTCTCTCTGCTGTGTCTGAGGTTTCCTAGGATACCAGAATCACAGAGAGCGTCTTTTCTTTGGGTTTTTGCTCACTTCACTTTTCATGAAGTGCCTTCACCTATTAAGTGGTCCAATAGAGTTTTTTCTATCCATAATAATTATGGTATATTTGAGAGAAATTGTTAAATTATTATCTCCATTATACAGATGAGAAAACTTAGGTAAAGTCACTCACCCATAGACAGAGATAGTAAGTTTCTACATGGGGATTTGAAACTGGGTCTCCTTACTTCAGGTCCACCACTTTTTTCCAGTATCCTACAATGTGTTCCTATCCCATCTCTCTGGCATCCTTCTCTTTCTCTTTTGCTAGATTCTTATCTAGATCATGCCCTCTAACCACAGATATCCTACAGGGATCTATCCTGGGCCCTCTTTTCTCATCTCCCCCTATACTATTTTTATCAGCTATAGTGGATTTGATTACCAGCTCTATTCTGATAATTCTCAAACTTCACTGCTAACCACCAGTCTCACACCTCCAACTGTCTTTGTGCCATCTTGGATTGGATGTCCAGTAGACATGTTAAACTCAGTCCAAAACCAAACTCATTATCTTCTGCCTTCCCTATTACTCTCGAGGGCAAACACTATCCTCTTAGTCCCTCAGACTCACAACCTAGATTGTCATCCTCACCTTCTCATTGTCTCTCACCACCACCACCCCTCTCCATTTCCATTCTACTGTTCTGTCAAAGCCTGTTGATTTTACCTTTGTAACATCTCCCCAACATGGCCTCTTCTCTTTTCTGACACTGTCACCCCTCTGTTGAGGGTCCTCATCACCTCTTGTCTAGACTATTGAAATAGCCTGCTTGTGAGTCTGCCTGCCTCAAATCTCCTCATTCCCATCCATTCTCTAATCAGCTGCCTAAGTGACATTCATAACATGCAGGTTTGATCATGTCACCCTCCACACCCATTCAACAAACTCCAATGTGCCCTATTGCCTCCAGGATCAAATACAGTATCCCCTGTTTGGCACTGAAAACCCTTCATAATGTAGACCACTCCTACCTTTCCACCTTTGTTACACCTTACTCCCTGCCATAAACCCTCCAATCTAGTGACACTTTTTTTTTCTTTTCCATGAACAAGACATTCCATCTCTGAGCTTTGGGCATTTTCTCTGTCCCCCATTCTTGTAATGTTCTCCCTCATTAAGTTCCTACTAAAATCCTACCTTCTGCAAGAGGGCTTTCTTTATCCCTTTTAATTCTAGTGTCTTCAATATTTCTCTTCTCTGTAGCTTGTTTGTGCATATTTGTTTGTTGTTTCTTCCATCAGATTGTAAACTCCCTGACAATATGGACCTCATTTGACTCTATTCTGTATCCCCAGCACTTAACACTTTGCCTTGTGTGTAGTAGGTGCTTAATAAGTCTTTATTGACTGACTCTGTCACTAATAGCGTATATGTTTACAAACTTTGCTACCAAGTATCTGACCAAACATCTTTTTAAATAGAGGAAAGTGACCATGGCATATGCGGAATTATTTATTTCCATATGGGATATGGAGATTGACTCATATTTAAGGTTGGAGTACTTCCAAGAAAATTGAAACTAGGAAATACACACAAGGAAAGTGTGAGAGAATAGCACATAGAAGAATGCATGCTTTTTAATATTAGTAGTAAAAAATACAATATTTTTATATAATGTTGTAAAAGACAAACCTATCTGATTATATGCAAAGAAATCATATGACAATCAGTTGAAGGAACTAGGAATCTTTACCTAAGAAGAGAAGACCGCGGAGAAAGGGGCCCTCGATCAATGTCTTTAAATATCTGAAAGGCTGAACTATGCAATGAGGAATTGTTCTGCATTATCTCAGAGCGCTGAACTAGGGCCACAGAATGAAAGTTTCAGAGAGAAAGGTTTTGATGGCATAAGGAAGAAATTTCTAACAAACATGGAATGGGCTACCTCAGTATATAATGAGTTAGTCATCCCTAAAAGTCTCTGGGGATTTTAGGGAAGGGATTCTTGCATCAAGGACAAATTGGACTATAATACATCTGATATTGCTTCCAGTTCTCATTTCCTGGGATTACCATTCTGTGATCTACATTAATCAATAAAACATATGGAAAATTTTATCAGATTCCTTGTTTCAGAATGCACTTCTCCTCTCCTTAATCTTCTGGCTTGTTTACCTTCTCCAACAAGAAGCAAAGACATATTTATCAATAGTAAAACTACTCTGTGTAGAAAGCACTTTTTACAGATGGGGGAAAAAATCCTCCTATTAAACAAGATCCTTGCTCCCACATATTTATTGCATGCAAATATGGAAAAAAAATTAAAAACATGAATTCTTTATTAGATTTCTCAAAACTTCTTGATCTAGGGATTCTTGAGGGTATACCAAAAGTCACACCAGTAATGACCTCAGTGTTCACAAGTATCTGAAGATAAATCAGGAAAATGTGGGAAATTTCATGTGAACAGCAAGATAATGCTAATGGATATTTCTTCTGTGGCTGAAGTTGAACAGCCTAGATTAGATGGCTTAGAAGCTAGGATTGTAGATTACCAATGGATGACTCACTTGGGTCATAGTTGTAATTTTTTCAAGGAAGGAGAAATGTTCAAAAGTCAGGTAAGAAACATAACTAAATTTGCACTAAAGGGTATTTGAAGACTTAAATAACAAGAATATTCTTTGAATTTCTTCATAAATACTGGGGGCTCTGACATCTTGTTTCTAGGTACCAAACCTGTCCATGTTCCTTTCTTTTCTGGGCTTTAATTTTCTTCATCTTTAAAATGAGGTTCATATTCACCACATGACCTACTTTTCAGGGTTATAATGAGGAAACTTCATAGCTCTGTATTATACAGAAATGTAAGGTGTATCTGTTTCTTATTATTTGGTTCCTGGCAGAGCATAAGATAGAACTGAGGGCTTCTATCTTCAATTTCTTTGTGCTGAAACACCTACATGGATCTCACTCACTGTCTCTGTTTCTCTCTCTCTCTCTCTCTCTCTCTCTCTCTCTCTCTCTCTCTCTCTCTCTCTCTCTCACACACACACACACACACACACACACACACACACACACACACACACACCCCTACCTTTCTCTATGCCTATCATTTTACCATTCCTCACTCCCCTGCTGAGCTCCCCATTACATACAGGTTATCTGGCATATAAGGTTCCCCACCATGTGGTTCCCACCTACCTTTCCAACCTAATTTCTTTGTTTTCCCTTTCAAGAATACTGTATTCCATCCAAATTTGATGAATAGCTGTTCTCCAAATCTAGTGTTACATTTCTTTGCCTCCATCCCTTCACATAAGCTATCCTATAAGCCTAGAATGCACTTTCTTCTCATGTCTGACTTTCAGAATACATTTCTTCCATCAGAGTTCGGCTCAGGTTTCACCTTTCCTGAATCCTCACCTAGTTGTCTTAACCAAGTTGTTAGTACTCTCTCTCTACTCAGTTTTGTTCGTGCTGTGCTTATGTGTGTACATTGTATATCCTTGGTAAGCCAGATGTGCTCTCAACCATTTGAGGTTTAAACAGTGCGGACGACAGAGAAGAATGGAAGAAATATGTCAGTATTTTTATTGTGTTCTCTTTTCATAGAGGTAATAGTTGAAGCACCTCACTTGTGCTCAGGGCAGCTAAGGGGCACAGTGGATAGATTGCCTGGCCTGAAGTCAGGAAGACACATCTTCCTCAGTTTGCCTCAGTTCCTTATCTGTAAAACGAGCTGGAGAAGGAAATGGCAAACCACTGTAGTATCTTTGCCAAGATAACCCCAAATGAAGAGTCAGATACAACTAAAATGACTGACCCACAATAACTTGTACTCTGCCATTTTAAAAGAAATTTCATTGGCTTTTAAAAATAAAGTCTGGAAAAATTGTTGAACTTGATCAAATAAATACTAAGAAATTCATTTTAAAAGTGACATGATTTTTAAGGCGCTTGGAAAATTACTTTGAAGACATCTGAATGACCAGAAATTTTAGGAAATATACTAACCATTAACGCTAGGAAAACAAAGCAAATGAAAAATAATATTGCACAGACTATAGTATACAGATTAGTGGTCAGTCTATCAAATTAGTCCATCAATTATGAATGTTTTAGATGCTGTATATGACTAAGTTTGTCCTGGAATCAACTGGGGGGTGGGGGGTGGAATGGCTTCTATAACTTTTGGTAAATTGCCCTGCCCCTCCCCCCAAAAAAAGAAAGAAAGAAAGAAAATCTTCCAGTGGTCGCTGTTAGTTGCTGCAAGTCTCATCTTTGATTTTCACTGATTTTCTCAGTGATTCTGTATGACTACAAGTCAAGAAATATCATGATCTTAGAATAATTGAAATTACTAGTAAACTAAAGGGAAAGGCTTGGGATGAGTGTAAACTTACTGCAATGCCATGAAAAACATCATTGTTAACATATGATTAGAAAGGAAAGATGATCACTTATATAGTAAAATTGAGAGACCATCACAATCTGAGGTAAATGTCAGTCATCTTTGACATTAAAAGAAGTAAAAGAAGAATTCTAGAGTGTTTGGTGACTTCTCTAAAGATTACTAATAGAAACGTAGGTAAGAATTGTGCATGAAGAGCTTAATGTTTGTCCCAAGGGACACAGTGAAATCATAGGTCCATCAAAGTCTTTTTTTTCCTACGTCATTATAGTCTGTGAATATTGAACTTCCATGACTGTTTTCTTCATTATCTCGTTTTACATCATTACAT